TGTACTTCACGCTCCTGGGAAGGACTCGGGTTAGGTTCCCATCACCCTGTAGTAGCTGACAACTCTGCAAGTCTATTTCCAGAGGATCCAATACCGTCCTCTGACCTCCTTGGCCACTGCACACATGTGGTACAGCCAAACATGCAGACAGAACACCTACATCAAAAATAAAAATAAGTGAATCCTTAAAAGTAATTTTTTAAAAAAAATTGACACCCAGCCAGGCACTGTGGCACATGCCTGTAATCCCAGCACTCAGGGAAGCAGAGGCAGGTGGATCTTTGAGTTTGAAACCTACCTGGTCTACAAAGCAAGTCCAGGACAGACAAGTCTACACAAGGAAAATCTGTCTCTAAAACAAAGGAAAACAAAACCCAATTTACACTCAGTTATTTCCATAATGTATATGTGTATGCATGGGTCCATGTGTGAAATTTGGAAACCAGAGGACAACATAGGAGTTGCTTCTCTCTTCTGCCATGAGGGTTCCAGGGATTAATTAAAAGTTTGTCGGGCTCAGCAGCAAGCATCTGTACGGTGGAGCCACAAACTGGCTTACTGTTTAGAAAAGGTGAACACAGCTAAGTGTGGTAGGGTGGGTGCTGTCATGGATGCTTCTTTAAAACAGCTAACATTTTGGATAACATGTTTTGGAAGCATTTTGGAGCATCTCTCCTATTCCAGGCTGGCCTCAAATGCAAATGAATTTTGAACTTTTGTTTCTCCTGCTGAGTGCTGAGACATTGCTTCTTGGGTGCCGGTGATGGAACCGAGGACTTCCTGAAAGCTACGAGAGCATGCTACCAACTGAGCTACATTCCCAGTCCCCAAAAGCATTCTTAAGTGACATAGTGTGCTGTTAAGAAATTAAGGAATATTCACATTAAAATGATGTGACAGGCTTAAGGATATTACTCACTTGCCTAGAATGAACAAGGTCCTTGTGTTTCATGCCAACATCCACAGGAAAACCAAACCTTAACGTTAGGAATCTAGCTCAGTTGTAGGGCATCCATACAGCAAGTAGGACAGGCTCTGAGTTCAGTCCCAGCAGAGGTCAGAGACATGGGAACATGGGGTAGTGGACAGGTGAAAACAGTCGTAAGAGAGTAAGAATTCTATGGTCACATGAGTGTGCTTCTCCCTGTATTTCCTGCTCTTGGAAGGTGGAATGAGGTGTCCATGGCCAGGTAGGACTATGATAACAGGTTAGAGGCCAGTATGGGCTGCATGAGGTTAGTGCCAAGTGTAGAGGTCCATGCCTCTAATCCCAGCACTAAGAAAGCTGAGGCAGAAATATGATGAGTTTAAAGATAGCTTAGCTTAGCCTACATGACAAAGCATTGTGCCTCCTTCCCCAAATGAGCATGAGGGTGAAGGGATGCCTCAGATGTTAAGAGTGTTTGTTGTTCTTGTGAAGGACTCAGGTTCAGTTCAAAGTGTCTCCACGGTAGTGGCTTACAACAATTTCTAACTTCGTCTTGAGGGGATGTAACATCCTCTCGGTCCACCTGGGGCCCCAGGCTCACCTGTGGTATACATACATGCTTCCTGTAGGCAAAACACTCACACACACATTCATAATCGAATGATTGTACACACACACAGACAGACACACATCTACAAACAGAGCAAGAGAGAGAGAGAAAGAGAGAGAGAGAGAGATGGCATCCTTTTGGCTGGAAACACCATTTTCCAGTAACTTGCTAAATAGCAAACACAAAGGGAAAAAGAAGACGCAGACAATGTTTGTTCTCTTGGTCTTTGAACACAGAGCTGTGTCTTTGGCCACATATGCAAGAGTCTACAAAAAAAGTGATATTGTCACCATGGGGAATGGGCTGTCAAAAAGGCGTGATCATGAATTCTACCACAGCAAAACTGGAAGAGTCTACAGTGTTACCCAGCATGCTCTTTTTTATTAAAGAAGCAAGTCATGAGCAGGAAGAGAATCACTGGAAGTATTTATCTGATTAGGAATTCTAAGGGTCAGGGATGGGACAGGAAGTGCAGGGTGCTCTCCTTGCAAACAGGAGGCTTTGCATTCTGTCTCCAGAAACCATGTAACAAAAGCCAGGTGTTACTGTTGTGCATTTGTAATCTCAGGGCTGGAGAAGCAGGGAAAGATGGAATCCTGGGGTTCTTCAACCACACCAGGGAAGTGAAGGCCCCTCACAACAAGGGAGACACAGTGACGTGTGTCCTCTGCTTCCACAGATACCTGAACAATTTACCTGCACGTATGCCTGCACACACATGAGCACACACAGAACTCTACATCCTGAGACAGCCTCCTAGTATAGGTGAAGGAAGTGATCAGGGAAAGAAGGAAGCCAAAGAAAGACACAAGTGCCAGCCTGCTCCAACCAGAGAAACATACTTGTGAGAACTAAGAAAAACAGTAGAGCAGGCCAATCAGTTCATGTCAGAGGCAGTCCCTGTTCCCATTACTATGGAACCCACTTGGACACTGAACTGCCATGGGCTACATCTGTGCAGGGGTTCTAGGTTATCTCCATGCATGGTACTTGGTTGGAGTATGAGTCACAGGAAAGACCCCTGTGCTCAGATTTTTTGGTTCTGTTGCTCTCCTTGTGGCGCTCCTGTCCTCTCCAGATCTTACTATTTCCCACTTCTTTCATAAGATTGCATGCATTCTGCCCAACAGTTGGCCATGAGTCAGCATCTTCTTTGATAGTCTGCAGGCAGAGCCTTTCAGAGGCCCTCTGTGGTTGGCTCCTAACTTGTTTCCTGTTTTCTTCTTCTTCTGATGACCATCCTCTTTGCCTTGTGGGATGGAGATTGAGCATTATAGCCAGAGTCCTCCCTCTTGATTAGTTTCTTTAGGTGTACAGATTTTAGTAGGTGCTCTTTGATCACCTCACTCTGAGAGGAAAGCTGCCTTACCAGGCCACAGAAGAAGACACTGCAGCCACTCCTGATGAGATCTAATAGACTAGAATCAGAAGGAAGGAGAGGAGGACCTCCTCTATCAGTGGACTTGGGGAGGGGCATACGTGGAGAAGAGAGAGGGAAGGTGGGATTGGGAGGGGAGAAAGGTGGGGTTTATGGGGGGGATACAAAGTGAATAAAATGTAATTAATAAAAATTAAAAAATAATATACATAGGATACATTGTTGAAAAAAAAAGAAAAACAGTAGAATCTATTCGCTATGACATTGTGGCTTAATAGAAATCAAAAGTCAATAAAAGTTTCTAGACACTAAAAATATTTTTCTGGTTAAATTAAAGTGTAGTATTCCAAATGCCAAAGAAATACTTAAAGTAAAAGGAAAAAAAAAGGGGGGGGGATATAGGATTATGTGTGAACACAGCAGCCTTTCATCTTGAGAAACTTGTCAGACCAAGGTTGGGACACTTTAATTTTCAAGTCCTCACAGTGTGGAGAAGATTAGACCAGTGGCCCAGGCCAGGATGAATGATCTTCCCAGTGTGGTCATCTCAAAGAGCAAGCCATGAAAATGACTCTTTTTAAGAAAGCCACAGGAGAAATGACCTTTCTCAGATCTTCACACAGACTCTGGAAATAGGAATCTCCTCTCAATATTCTTCTATCCTGATGCTAGATGACCAGGGGACAGTCTTAAGTTACACTTTAACACAGTAACCATGCACAGAAATGAATAGAATGAATGGAATACCCCAGCCTTTGCCACTCGGCTCCAGCAGTTCTAACATGGTCTTTCTTGTACCTCTTATTTCTTCCTGCTCTTCTAACCACCCTCAATTATTCTGACACAAGCACAGATCATGAGATCATTCCGCCTATACACACAACTCACTTGAACTTTGTTATCAAAGCCTGCTCTTCTCACCCACATCTTTTTCCCCAAGCTTACTGCAATGACAGCGTCTTTGCTAATGAAGACATGAGGAAGGAGACTTTTAAGAACTGGCCCCACAAGTCACCTGTGGCTGTTGACGCTCTCGTCAAAGCAGGCCTTTTCTACACAGGTCAGTCGGGGTTTTCCCCTTTATTTTTACGTTTCTGTGTGTGAGTGTTGCCTGCAAGTAAGCACATGTGCCACATGTCTGCCTGGTGCCCGCAGAGGCTAGCCAGGGTGTTGGATCCTGGAACTGGAGATATAGTTGCCGTGAGCCAGCATCTGGTGCTGGAAACAAACCTGACTCCTTTGCAAGAGCAGCCAGTGCTCTTTATGCTGAGCATCTCTTTCGCACCTGAAATAGTCAGTATTTTGTGTCTGACAAGTAGTCTAATCCCGGACTTGCACTTTTCTTTATTTTCATTTGTCATAGATCTCTTGGGGCCTCATAAGACCTTCAGCTTTCCATAGTTCCCTCGGTGCTCAGCCTCTGAGCTAGGGGATCCTGAGGTCACTTGATCCGACAGGCCTATTCCACTGGCACTAAACTCACCACCCGGTCTTAACGCATCGTCTTCTCTTGCCAGCCTTGCCTGAGTGTCATGGATGAAGTGCTCCTATTTCTAGGGGAGGAGAGCTGGCAATAATGTGAGCAGAGACAGGGATTCTTCATAACCTGCCTTGCATAGAGGCTCCTAAGTTTGCTCTTCCATCCTGCCCCAGCTACAAGTATATTCTCCCGATTTACTCCGTAAGCAATTGCTTGTTGGTTGCCTATGTCTGTGAATGTCTCGTAAGTCATCATTGTCCAGGACAGACAGAAATCTCTGCTCTCACGGAGCTCCTACTCCAGATCCTGATGGCAAATCTTTCAGGATGATGGCTTGGGAGAGGTTTCATCAAAGCACACGGTGCACAGGAACCTTCAGCGCCTGTTGCTGACTGTTGCTGACCACCCCACGGAAGGACCAAGAGTCCTGTGTGAACTCTTGCCTCCTGTGCGTGGTAGTCCCACATAATCCAACTGGAGGAGCAAGTAGGATTTCACTGGTGAAATCTGGAGTGGAATTCTTGTGAGTTGACAGGTGTACGTGCTGTTGAGCTGACCCCATCTCCTTTTCCTAGGCAAAAAGGACCTTGTCCGGTGTTTTTCCTGTGGAGGATGTATGGAGAAGTGGGAGGAAGGTGACGACCCATTAGCAGACCACACCAAGTTTTTCCCAGAGTGAGCAGTAAATTCTCTTGACTTTGAACTCACTTCATCTGTTATTCCCTCACTGTCCAGGTTTGTTATCTGTGGGTAGTGTCTGCTCACTCTCTGGTTCCCACTGCGAGGAATACATCCATGTATCTTTATTTCTTTTCCCCCTTGATACTCTCCCTGTCTAGCTTTTTTACTCATCATAGTAAGATCATAGTTTTTGTTGGATCTATGTACACACTTTTAAAGACAGGATCTGTGTAGCACAGACTGTCATAACAATTCTATCTAGTAGGACTTGATCTCATGATCCTCCTGCCTCAGCCACCTAAGCCCACTGCTGAGAGCACATCATTTCTGCCAGTTCTAGGCATTTCTGATTTTTTTTTGAGTACAAACTAGTTTTTCTTTTCATCTCCTTTTAGAATGCTTTATGGTTTTCTATTTCTATTGTCTAAGATTTCCCCAGTGGTTTTCTTTTTCCAGTGTTGGTGGTAGAAGGACTAATTTGAGCATGCCAGGCAATCACTTTACTATAGAGCTACTCTCACCCCTTTTCTGTCAGTCTTCAAATTTATTTTTATTCCTCTTCTACACATAAGAAAACCCTAGAAAGGTCCACTTGCACAATAAATTTGTTATTATGTAGAAATTAGAATTTTCAAAGATAAATATCAATATGCACAGATTGAAAAGTGAGTATTTCTGGGCAAGGTGGTTGACACATGAAATCCTAGCTCTCAGGAAGCTGAATGAAGAAAAACCCCGTTTTGTTTTATATTAAATGCTTTGATATAAATTCCCCTAAAGTTGATCTGTTTTAAAATCCAGCACGTGTAATTAAGAAATAAGAGTCTTTTGATCCGGTTTCCCTTGGAAGGCAGGAAAATCTGCAGCTGTGTTGGTACCTCAGCAGGCTGTGTTCAGTTCCACCAGTACCTTTTCTTTCCATCCAACACATACCTAAAAGTGCTCTAAATTGATTTAAGTTTAATTATTAACATTTAAATGTAAAGGTTTAAATAACTATCTGGTCTTGAGATAGGATGCTAACAATATCCGAATCACTTAAAATAGTCCTTAAAAATGTTTTCTTAGTGTACATTAATACATACAATATTACAGTTTATTACATTCATGCTCACCACCGTCCTCCCATTACCTTCTCTTATCTCTCTCTAGCTCTTCTCAGTTCTCTTCCTTCTAAAATCACATGTTTTGTGCCTGCCCAGGGCTATATAGCAAGATATCTCCTGGTTTTAAATAAATAAATACATAGAATATTTCCATCTCATTTTGAAGTTAGAAGATGAGTGGTCACTTTTTTTTCTTTTACTTTTTAAAGTATTTGACTTTTGGGTGTTTTGTCTGCATGTATATCTGTGCACTGCTTGCATGACTGGTGCCCACAGAGGTCAGAACGAGGGCATCAAAGCCCCTAGAACTGAGTTACAGGAGGCTGTGAACTGCCTGATATGGGTGCTGCGTGCAAACCTGAGTCCTCGCAGGAGTAGTGACTGTTCTCCCACGGAGACATTTTCAGGTCCCACTTTTTCCTTTTTTCTTTAGGAGTATGTAGACAATAGCTGAGAATGCCAGGGCCTCTTCTCAATCCCTGTGCGGCAAGGTGGGAGACAATTTGCTTGTACTTAAAACCTGTTCTAGAATCTATCAACAAACTTTGTTTTACTTTAATTAAAACTAGCATACGTAATTCGTATCTACTGTAATTACAGATCTAGTTTAAAGGACAATAACAATAAAGCCTAGGAGCTGAGCGCTAAAGTCAAGAAGTCAAGGTCTCCCAATGCCTCAGAGGCCACCGTGCCACTCCCTTGTCCTGAGGATGCTGTCCTCCTCATCCAGGGGCAAACACAGTCCTGTTTTTCAGTTCACTGTCCTTTTACCAAACACACGCACACACACATCTACATGAACCTTCAACTTTGCCTGCTCTTCTTCAGTTGTTTGTTGTTTCTTTTTGTTGTAGTTCTATGTCTGTTGTGTGTGTGTGAAAGGGGAAAGGACGTTGAATCCAGAGTGTCATGAGTGAGAACACTTTGCCGCTGAACTACTGCCCCAGCCCTCACATTGTTTAAGACAGAATTCTAGTATGTCTACAGAGTGAGTCCCAGAAATCCAGGGCTACACAGAGAAACCCTATTTCAGAAAAAAACAATTAAAAAATTTCCTGTGTAGGTGATCTTGATTTGCAGTATAGCTCAGATTTCCCTTGAACTCACATCTTCTTGCCTTACTCTCATGAATACTAGATGCATAGCCATGCGCTACCATAATTGACTGGCTTGCCTGCTATGTTTGTTGGGGGGCGGTCAGCTGGTAGATGGGTGTTTGATACAGAGCACCAGATAATCCGGGATGGCCTCCAACTCAGTGTTTAGGGAGGATGGCCTTAAGGTCATCCAACTGCCTCCACATCCCAAGAGCTGGATGACAGGCATGCTCTACCACACCCAATATTTGTTTTGTTTTTAGCTTATTCATTTTTATTTTATACATTAGTGTTTTGTCTGCATGTGTGAGGAAGTCAGATCCCATGAAGCAAGAGCTATAGACAGTTGTGAGCTGTCATGTGGGTTTTGAGAATTGAGCCCTGGTTTCTGGAAGAGCAGCCAGTGCTCTTGAGCACTGAGCCATCTCTTTAGCCCCAGCTTTTGTTTAGATAGACAACAGCAAGATGTAAACTTACAATTGGCAACAATGACCATATACTTTCATCCAAGTGTTTCTCTAGGACACCCCAGGGCTCTCAGTTGCTAATGGGGGTCTGGAATGAACATAAATTCAGACCTTAACAAGAACAGAATTCCAGAGACTTACAACAAGGTCAAAGTGCAGACAGTGAGTGACAGGGTGTGCTCATTCCTGAGGGAACACTTCCTCCTCCCAAACTCAGGGGCCATTGCAGAAGAGGGGCCCAAGAGCCCATAAGAGCCAGAGGCTGTAGAGGACTTTGTCTTGGGTTTGTCTTGTTTTGTGCACAGCAGGGTCCTTCCCTCAGGAACTCACAGTTGCTGTGGTTGCCTGTCCATACAAGCCTGCCCCAAATCCAGCCAAGCCAAGCCCCACCTGTGGGAGGGGAGCTGTTGACACTTGTTCAGCCCATGGGCCTTGAGGTTTCCCCGAGCTCTGCTGGATGGCCCCATGTCCACTCACCCATGAGCAGCACTAATTGAATTCAGTTAAAAGAGGATACGAAGCTGGGAGATGACCTGACTTGAGGAGGGTCTGGGGAAACTGAAGAAAGGCAGTGGGGTTGATATAATCCACATACATTGTACACACATCTGTGATTTCCAAAGAATAAAATACTTTTTAAAAAAGAACAGTCTTCCAAACTGTGGCTCAGAAAGCTCTGCACTTTGATCAGCGATTATGGATGAATGAGAGCAACAGAGAGTGGTGCGCAGAGGAGATAATTGTCGAGGGAGAGAGGAGTGAGTCAGGAGAGGTGCTCAGGGGAACTTTGCAGTTCTGATTGACTAGCAATGAGATTGCTTCTTTATTACACAGGTTTCAGAGAACAAAGACGGACTAATGACAGACTAACCTGTCCAAGAACTACAGATGATTTGTTTGATTTTTCATTACGAAGTGTTACAACTTCAGTCATGATTAGAAAATATAAACAGAGCAGATTTATCTTTATTATAAGCCTTATAACTCCAAGTTATAGAATCTAAAGATTGTCTTATCCAAAGCAAACACATTTCTTATATAACAGCCTGCTTTTAGGCAGGCAGTATTTGTAGTTTTAAGGCACTCCAGACAAACAGAAAATACCTGAACTTTTTTTTTTTTATGTAGAGCAAATATTAACACCTAACACCTTTTACTACTTGTGTCATCATCTACACTATAAAGTAGGAACAAGTTATTTTAGTCAATCTGTCTTATTTACTGAGTTCTCTTCCTCCAGGGGTGTACCCTGTATGACCCCCTTTCTTTAAACTACATTTTCAGAGAGTTCTAAGCATATTGTAAAGGGAGGCCTTGAATCTGTTACCTGGTTTTCTGGCCAGTCAGAGCTTGTCCTTGTCTTTGTATCCCCTGCAGCATTTATACTGTTTGAGTTTGCTTAAGGGCAGATATCCACAAAAGGTTCCTGTAGTAACGGCTTCATGAAAAAATTTCTAGTTTACATGCTAATCTGTGCTCAGTGATCTCTAAAGCATAAGGAAACCTTCACAACAGTGGCCAGATAATGTTATTTTTACTAAAAGGAAATAACTCAGACATAATTTTCTTGGGAAAAGACAGAAAAAATCATAATGCTGAAATCCCCCTCCCCCAAAAAATTAAAACACATAGAGCCTAAAAACCTTAATAGAGAAAGAATGAAAATGATTGCAGCATTTGGCTCACCTTTGCTAGAGCAGCTGTGTCAAACAGCTGTGCTGGCTTCATGACTTTTGCTGTTTCCAATGGATATGGCTGTGCTCCCAGATGCTCCCAGAGCCTTGGTGTGAGGTTGACATAGACGTCTCATTTATTGCTGACACTCAATAATCAGTTATTCTCTGTACTACAGTGAGAAGCTTACGTAGCCAAGGATCAAAGCAGCAGCATTCTTTGCATAGGAACATAAATATTTAGAAGGAATTTTGACAGGATGTCCATTAAGCCAGATAGCATTAGTAGACCCTGCCCTGCTAAGACCTTTAATGACTTTCTGGGCCATGGGCTTTTGACCAGGTTTAATTTAGGTGTTTGTTTTCTTTCATTTTGCCTTTTTGAAAGAGGGTCTCACTGTGGTGCCCTTTCTGTTCTGACTTTGCTATGTAGACCAGTCTGGCCTTTGACCCAGAGATCCACCTGTCTTTGACACCCAAGTGCTGAGATTTACAGGCCTGCACCACCTCACTCAGCTTGACCAGGTTTAGAGAATCTGTGAAGCAGCCTCAAGTCCAGTTCAAAAGCAGTCGGTTATCCCCAAAGATTCAGGCCACTTCACCGTTGGCTTCATCTTGTCTGGCATGATGGTGATGTTGTAGGCCTTCCTCCCCCAGGAGACTGCAAAGCCTCTTCCAGTACTGTGACAGGGAGACAGCAGGGAGGAAATTCTGAGTCAGTTCCAGCTTGATTCCTCTCTATCCTGAAAGCAACATGCTCTGTGTATTTAGAAATAGGTCTGTATTTCTGTCCAACTTATTTTGTGAGGCAGGTCTCTCACTAAACCTGGAGCTAGCCAATGAGACTTACTGGCTGGCTAGTGAGCCCCTACGGTCTTCCTGTCTCTCCTTCTCTGGCACTAAGATTACACTGTCCCTATTGCCTTGCTGTTACACAGATGCTGCAGATCTGAGCCCAGTCTCCATGTTTGCCCAGCAAGCATTAAATTTTTATTTAACTGTGTGATATCTATGTTTTTATTCTTTTTTATTATTAATTACACTTTATTCATTTTGTATTCCCCCATAAGCCCCTCCCTCCTCCCCTCCCAGTTCTACCCTCCTCCCCTTTCTGCATGCATGTCCCTGTCCAAGTCCACTGATCTTTCCATCTTCTCATATATTCTTTGTTTCTGACAGTTTGACAAGAGTCGAAATGGTTAAAAATTATTGTTAACTAAATTCTTAATTGTACACTTTATTTAGTATTTTTTACTGTTCTTTGTTGTTCTTTTTCCATGACTCTATAGAGTTTTCTCATTTTTTAATCTGTGAATTTTTATTTATTTTTACCTTGTTCACTTAGGTAATGTGTGTTTGTGTGTGCACTGTGTTCTACATAGGGCCAAAGGGAGACAGGGAGTCTCCTCTCCTTTATGTCACCCTCTTGTTCCCTTGAAGCAGGGTCTCTCTCTGAACCTGCTAGCATCCAGCGAGCCCTCGTTATCCTCTTGCCTCTGCACCCACAGTGCTGTGTCACTATTTTCTATTCTTTAAGATTATTTCAGCTGGTTTCACGGACAGGCACTAACTCTGTTCTCACCCCAACACATTCCCCGAATATCCTCACCATTACTTTACAAACCACATGCATTTTTACTGGAACCCAGAGACTGAAGGTTATTCAGGATGCAAGACTGACAGAGTCACTGAAAATCTTCACTTTCTGCTTCTTTCCTGGTCCTGAATCTTCATGTTCTCCATAAAGCTAATACAGACACTTAACTGCATGGAACCATTTCATGACTTTATCTTCTCTGCATAGTTGTGTATTTCTTCAAAACCTGAAGTCCTCTGCAGAAGTGATTCCAGCCCTTGAGAGCCACCATGAACTTCTGGAATCCATGGTAATGGGCCCCGCCCCTTCTCTGACTCAGCAACACATCATTGTGGGGTTGAACCTCAATTGTCAACTGTATATGTATCATCATTAGATAGAGTTCATGAGAATCTAAGAAGCAACTGTCACATGATAGCTATAGATGGGGCGTCACAGTGAACAGTGAGCCCTTCTCCCAGAAGAAGCAGACCCTTGAGACTCTTTTAGACTTTGACTTGATTAAAATGCAGACTAAAAACATTCCACCTGCCCTTTTCCTGCAGGGCAGTAGGCTTGACTTTCTGCTAGAACTTTTGAAACTTAAAGTCACTTGTCGTTTTCCTTGGTTGGACTTTTCCTTGAGACAGATTTCCAGATTTTCAGCTTAGGCTGATCTTGAATTTTCTGTGCAGCCAAACCTGACCTGGAACTTGTGATCTCTGCCTCGGCCTTAAAAATGCTATGGTTCCAAATGTCTGTACCCATGTCCAGCTGGTTTGACTTTTGATGTTGTTTCTTGTATTGAAACCAAGACCCCCTTTGTGCTACACAAGCACTCTGGACTGAGATATATTTCTGGCCTATGAATGTGCTTTGTGAACAAAACCAAATGCCAAGTAATAAATCAGGAAATCTATTTTTGCAACATAAGACACAACTATGAATTCAATGGGCATACCAACTGCTGCATGCCGCAGTTGATTGATAGGTCTGCTATGATTGCCTTCCCACAAAGCAAAAGCAAATCTGGGAATCATGGCACATGTCTGCAATATAGCATTCTGGAAGCTGAGGAAGAAGATGGTTGTGAGTTCAAGATCAGCCTGGATTATACTATAAAACCCCATCTCTAAAAATAAAACAAAACAAAAAACTGACAGCAAACAAACCGTTAAACAATGAAGAAAACAGGGTGAAAACTGAAAAGATAATCAACTCTGGGTTGATGTGATATGTGTACAATATTTGTGAATTTCAAAATGACGTTGCAAGGGCTGGAAACATAGTTCAGTTGGTAGAATACATGCCCCAAACAGAGTGAAGTCTAGAAGACTTTGGTTTCTCAATGATAACATAATGTCTCACTATCATGCAAATTTTAATTTAATAAAGGATTTCTCTTTCAAAGGAAATCACAAGTAAAAGCAATCACGAGGACCCAGTTCATCCCACCGAGGCCGGTAAGAACTTGAAAGCACATGGGATTCTGTGTATTTGTACATTGCACAGGAAAGCATATTTCTAATTGTCTGAGGAGCTCCTAGAGGAGAGCACTGAGGTGAAGGGAGCTGTGGGTGAGAGAGCGCTCCTGGGGCATCTTGAGAGTGAATGCAGGACTACCGACAGCAGTCCTCATGCCAGATCCAAAGCAGCCAGTGTTAAAGGCATCGTGCAGCAGGCTGCTCTCCTGAGGTCCTAAAGGGAAATTAGGGTGCCAGGATATCCAAGTCCCTGTCAAATGAGAGGATTAGACATAGTACCCTACCCTGATGCTATGGAAAGATCTGAGAGGGTCTTAGGGTATGAAGGGGGGTCATGGGAAGGAGAGTAGAGTCTTAATCCACTCTTGGCAGACAAGCAAAGCAATCAGAGAGATGTGAAGGTACACCTTCCTCTGCCTCCCTTCTCTCCACAGGCTTGGCTCCGAGGGGAGCCCAGTGGTTTCAGGAGGCAAAGAGTCTGAGTAAGCAGCTGCGAGACGCCTACACCAAAGCCACTTTCCGCCACATAAATTTACCAGAGGTGTGCTCCAGCCAAGGCACTGACCACTTGCTTGGCTGTGATGTGTCCATCATTTCAAAGCACATCAGCAGGCCAGTGCAAGGGGCCCTGACAATCCCTGAGGTCTTCGCCAATCTCAGCTCGATCATGTGTGTGGAGGGGGAAGCTGGCAGTGGGAAGACAACCTTCCTGAAGAAAATAGCTTTTCTCTGGGCATCAGGGTGCTGTCCCCTGTTGAACAGGTTCCAGCTGGTCTTCTACCTCTCCCTTAGTTCCACCAGACCAGACCAGGGTCTGGCCAGCATCATCTGTGCCCAACTCCTAGAGGCAGGAGGCTGCATTAGTGAAGCATGCCTGAGCAGCATCATCCAGCAGTTAAAACACCAGGCGCTGTTCCTGTTGGATGACTATAATGGGGTGGACTCGCTCCCCCAAGCCCTAGAGACACTGATTACAAAAAACTACTTGTCACGAACCTGCTTATTGATCGCTGTCCATACAAACAGGGCCAGGTCCATCCGTCCATACCTGGATACAATTCTAGAGATCAAAGAGTTTCCTTTCTATAATACCGTCTCTGTATTACGGAAGGTCTTCTCACAGACTATAACACGTCTGCAAGAATTTATGGTTTACTTTGGACAGAATGAGGATTTACAGGGAATTCACAAAACTCCTCTCTTCATGGCAGCAGTTTGTACTGACTGGTTTCAAAATCCTTCTGACCAGCTCTTTCATGATGTGGCCGTTTTCAAGTCCTATATGAAGTACCTGTCCTTAAAGTACAAAGCTGCAGATGAGGCCCTCAAGGCCACTGTGTCCTCATGTGGACAGCTGGCCTTGAGGGGGTGTTTTTCTTCATGCTTTGAGTTCAACAATGATGACTTCACAGAGGCCGGAGTGGATGAAGATGAAGACCTGACCACCTGCTTGATGAGCAAATTCACTGCCCAGAGACTGAGACCAGTCTACCGGTTTTTAAGTCCTCTCTTCCAAGAATTTCTTGCTGCCATGAGGCTGACTGAACTCCTGGGTTCAGACAGGCAGGAAGACCAAGACCTGGGAATTCATTATTTGAGACAAATTAACTCGCCCTTGAAGGCTCTGACCACCTACAACAACTTTTTGAAGTATGTCTCCAGCCACCCTTCATCAAAGGCAGGGCCAGAAGTTGTGTCTCATTTGCTTCAGTTGGTGGATGAGAAAGTGTCACTGAAGAACATGTCTGAAGAAGAGGATCATGTTAAGCACCGACCAGAACCTTCCTTGATAACACAATCAATTAAAAAATTGTGGCACTTTTCTCCTGTAGCTTTTTCCTTGATTTTTTCAGAAACTTTATTGGGCATTGCTCTAAACTTTGCTTATGAAAGCAACACAGTTTCTGCATGTTCTCCATTGATTTTGCAATTCCTTCGAGGGAGAACACTGGCTTTAAAAGTTTTGAATTTCCAGTACTTTAGGGACCACCCAGAAAGCCTGTTACAGTTGGCAAGTATAAAAGTCTTCATAAATGGAAATAAAATGTCACCTAATATAGGTTACTCAGTCATGAAAAAGTGTTATGAAACATTACAGCCACCAACAATAGATGAGGACTATGCATCTGCCTTTGAACATATGAAGGAATGGGCAGAAAATTTAGCTAAAAATGAAGAGAATTTATACAGTTTTTTGAATAATCAATGCAGGTGTCTACCCAAAATAAATTCTGGGTATTGGAAACTGTCACCCAAGCCACACAAGATCCCTAGGTTGGAAGTTGCAGTGGCCGACATGGGCCCCGCAGACCAGGCACTGCTCCGGGTCCTAATGGAAGTCTTCTCAGCTTCACAGAATATTGAGCTCTGCTTGTCCAACAGCAGTGGCTTTCTTGAAAGCATCCGCCCGGCTCTGGAGCTGAATAAGACCTCTGTCACCAAGTGCTCCGTGTGCAGGCTGGAGCTCAGCACAGCAGAACAGGAGCTGCTTCTCACCCTGCCTGCCCTGCAGTCTCTTGAGGTCTCAGGGACAGACCAGTTACCAGGTATCCCTGAGTGTGCTTTCACAAGCATTCTGGCTGACTCTGTGCTTTCTCATCCTTTGTGTTAGATGAGTAAACTTCTCAGGCACAAGCCATGGATGTGCCTCGATAGGAGAGATCTGAATACTCTCACTGTTTGGGACAGTGTATAAGGCCCGAATCCTAGAATGGGTTTCAAGTAACTCAGACAACACTAGGAAAATATTGCCACCATAGTTTCATCTCTCAAGGTCCTCAGAGGGTGCTTGAGTAGCTTGTTGTTGGTAAATGGGGCATTGTGTGTCAGATAATGCTGCAGAACCTTCTGCACTCTCGCTGCCCAGAGGAGGAAATGGCTTCTCCAGAGAAGGCATTTAATCTGCGTAAATAATAATTATGTCTTCTTCTAAGCACTGTTTGATAGTTTTCAGGATAGAGTTTATAATGATGTCTTTTAAAATATATATATTTATTTCACTGTCTGTGTTCCTGTGCTTGTATGTTTAGGGGCCCTCAGAGGTAAGAAGAGAGTGTCAGATCTTTTGGAGCTGTGGTTACAGGTTGTTTCAGCTGCCTAATGTGGGTGTTGGGAACCTAACTGTGGTCCTCTGCAGAACAACAGGAGCTCTTAGTTGCCGAGCCATCTTTTCAGCTCCTAGACTTTACTATCTTTCATTCAGTTCCTTTCTCAGTTTTTATACCATGGCAAATATTTAATTTTTAAATTTTGTTATTGTTAGTAGCAGAACTTGGATTTTTTTTAGCAGCTTACTATATGCTCAAGTATTCTTTGCTCTGTCTGTATTGTCCTTTTTCTTTTTTAAAAAAACTTTTCAAATGACTTTTTTGTTTTTTTAATGATTTATTTAATTTTTATTTTATGTGCATTTGGTGTGATGATGTCAGATCCCTTGAAATTGGCATCACAAACAGCTGTGAACTGCCATATGGGTGTTGGGAATTGAACCCTGGTCTTTGGAAGAGCAGACAGCACTCTTAACCACGGAGCCATCTCTTCAGGCCCGTCCTTTTTCTTTTAAAGAATTACTTTTGAGACTATAAAATATATCATGTCCTTTTTTCCTATCTTCCATCCAAGCCTTTCTATATACCCCTCCTTGCTCTCTTTCAGATTCACGGCATATTTTTAAAAACTAGTTGTTGATATTGACCTATATACATACACGTGTGTATATACGTTTCTAATATACTTGTATACTAATTATGTGTATACATTTCTCAATACTTAAATCCCGGCTCAGTCTGAACACTACTACTTGTATATATGATTTCAGGGCTGACCATTTGTTAGTACAGAACCAACTGGCATGCCCTTCCCTGGGAAGACTGTTTTTCCCATCATTAGCATCCCTTAGGTTTTTATAGTTCTTTGTGTAGGGTTGAGGCCTCATGAGCTTTCAATCTTTCTTTTTCCTTTTTATCTCTTTTTCCCTTCCTTCTTTTTCTCTCTCTGTTTATTTTGTTTGCCTGTTTTATTGTTTTTACTTATATTTATTTCATTATATTTTTGACAATGTCATACATGAGTGCTGTGTTTACATACTTTCTATGCCATGCTCTCTTCCCTCCAACACCTACTATTGTTCCCCAGTTCCCTGTCAACCTAGTCTACATATCTGTATATATAAATACAAACCGCTGAGTCTATTAGTGTTGCTTGTATACGTATGTGTTCAGGGCTGACCGCTTGGGATTGGATAACCTGCTGGGCATTGTCTGTGGAGAAGCTGAGTCCCCCCTCAGCGTCCACTAAGCACACATAGCTCTTCATCTAGGGGTGGGACTACCCATATTGTTTTTAACTGGTGTTGTGATTGTAGAGGCCTTGCTTAGGCAACCACATTGTTGAGATTTTATGGTGTAGCTTTCTGGTCAGATGTATAGAACTCACTATCTCATAGCAGATATTCTGATCCTCTGGCTCTTACAAGCTTCCTGTCCCCTCTCCTACCATGTTCCCTGAGCCTTGGATATAAGAGCAGTCTTATATATATCAATTGGGGTGGGCTCCACATGGTTGCTTATTGTCAAGATTTTGTCCAGTTGTGGACTTCTGTTATAGTCTCTGTCTTTTGTGGAAAAGAAGCTTCTTTGACAGATGATGGTGGCATACACCTTTAATCCCAACACTTGGGAGGCAGAGGCAGACAGAGTATTGTGAATCTGAGACAGTCTGGTCCACAGAGTGAGTTCCAGGACAGCCAGGGTTATGCATTGAAACCCTGTCTCCAAAAACCACACACACACACACACACACACACACACACACACACATACACACGCATACACAAAAAAAAGAAAAGAAAAAGAAAGAAGAAGCTTTTTTCGACAGCTACACTTATCTGTGGATATAAGGATAAGTATTCAGAATGCAGGTAGAAATTACACTTGTTTAGCAAATGGCAAGAGTAGGCTGTCTTCCAGGGTCCATGACCTTACCAGCCACAGGAAGTTAGCTAGGTTTATGGTAGCAGGCATGAATTCCCTATTACTGAGTAGCCTTTACATTTTATTGGGTAGGTGTTGGTTACCTCCAAGATACAAAAAGCCATTAATATACCATAGGATATAGCATCCATGCTGGTCATTGTTATGGTTCATAGGCTTTATGGCTGGGTAGGATGGTGAATTTCTTTTCTCCCTTGACAGCTTTCCTAGCACCTTTGGGTACTGTGAGAGTTAGTCTTGTATGTTTGTTTGTTTTCTTTGTCTTAATCAGTGGTGAAAGAATGGTCTCAGAACTGTTTGTCTCAATTGGCCATTTAAGTTTAATAGTAAAATACTGGTTAGTGATAACAATGCATCGTAAAACCTTCAGAAGAAAAGAAGAATGTTTCCTGGACCACTGTGTGTACGTGGCAGTTTTAAGTTATTAGTTTTCAAAATCAGTACTTTTTAATGGATACAACTTGACTAAAAATCTGTCACAGAATTTTGAGATCCATTAAAACAAGTTTAATGAGAAAAGAGAGAGAGAGTTAGTCGTTAGGGAAGAGGCTTCCAAGGACAGTTCTAGATTCTTTCATGTCTTGAGCTTGAAGTATGTGGTGTCTTGAGTAATAGGATCCTGTCATCAAATTCTGTGAGGCAACCAAGGGAAACAGCAAAAGCCTATGTTATTTTGGGGGGGGGGGTCTCCTGACCACAGTGTGAAGAGAAATTTTTATACCTTTCACTTGGACTTTAATTTTTTCATGGCATTTTCACCTCCAGCGGCATAACTTCACTTAAGTTATGTTTATATGTACACCTATACTTACATATATTATATGTGCATTTTTAGGTAAACATTAAATACGACTTTTTCCTGGTTTTTAGAAATGTGCCTCCTACTCCTGGTTCTGGTGTTTAGATAGTGTCTTTGCTTGCCCAGGTTGGATTTAATCTCACTGTGTGCTGGACAGTTCTGCTTCTACATATCTCATCCTTGAAAACAAATTAATGTGATGAAAAATATCCACTCACAGATTCCAAAAGAGCTGGTTGACTCTCATGCAACAGGTAGACAAAGCAGGGTAAGAATGTAGCTCAGTTGGTAGAATGTTGATATGCCATAAACATGTATTGTATAACATAAACATTCATAAGATCTTGGGTTGAATTCCCAGCACTGTGCAAACTGAGCAAGGTTGTTCATGTTTGTATTCTCAATACATGGTAGGTGGTGGCAGAAGAAATTCATGGGCAGCCTCGGCTACATACTAAATTTAAGGTCATACTGGGAACTTGAGATCCTGTCTCAAAATAAGAGAAATGAGAAAAATGTAGATGGAGGGATAGATGGAAGGGAGTGTAAAAGAAAATGGAAGGTGAGAAATAATGTAATTTTATTTTAATCTCAAAAAAATTTAAAAATTAAAGATAAGAGAGATAGGATAAAAAAATATAGCTCAAAGTCGATCAATGACAGTTCAAGAATGAAACTGTAACAGGTAATCTTTAAGACCTTAGATTTGAAAATGGATCTTTAACCATGATATAGAACACAAAAGAAGTTTGCAGTAGTGGAATGAATACCTTGGCATTAACTAATAGCTTTTTTATTGAACAGAAGGCAGAAACACACACACACAGACACAAGTAACATTGGACAAACCCATCAGGTGTATTTATATGTTTGGGAATATATGTATACACACATATGTGTGTGTGAAACAGTTATATTTTCCTCCCTTTCTCTTCTTTGCTTCAACCTCTACCATGAACTCCCCTTGCTCTCAATCGAATTTATGGCCTTTTTCTTCAGATGTTTTATACACACACACACACACACACACACACACACACACACACACATGCAACCTGCTCAGTCCATACAATGTTGCACACACACATATGTATATATATTTGCATCCATATCAGTCCATATGATGTCACACACACAGAGTGCTGACCATTTGTCATTGTATAACCAGTTGGTGTGCTCTTCCCCGGGAAGAATATTAATCCCCGCCTTAGAAGTCCTTAGTTGCCTGACGTTCTTCCTCGTGGTTGAGGCTTCATGAGCTTCAGCCTGTCCACGTTAGCATGTCCATTGGTGTGAATCTTGTTCAGGTCATGTTTAGGAAATCTTCTTAGTGAGACTTCATGGGTGTAGATTCTCTGACATTTCCAGAAGACAGAACCTCAGTAAAACTTGGTATTCCTCTGGCTCTTAGAATCTTTCCTATCCTTTTCCCCACAGTGATCTTGAGCCTTAGGCCAACCAGTCATGTTGTAGATGTGTCAGTTGGGACTAGGCATCACAATTCTTAATTTTGATCAGTTTTGGTTTTCTGTAATAGTCTTCCTCTGTTGCAAAGAGAAGTTTCTTTGATGAGGATAGGGATAGTCTGTGGGCACAAGGACAGATGTGTAGAATGTAGTTAGGGATTATGCTCCTTAGTACAGTGGTATTTGGAGGTTGTTCAACATCCAAGCTTTGCAAGCCCTGAGAACTTGGCTAGGTTTCCAGGACCAGTCATGTCTTCCCTCTTGTTGAGTGGAACTTATGTCCAATTAGA